CCTTAAAATATTTTTCCTCTTGAAAATTAACTACTCTAGTTTTCTTTTTCTATTCACAAATTTACGTATAATGTCTTTAGAACATCTTAATACGAGATTACTAATATCAGGAATGGCGAGCCACGTATCTGCAAACCTAGATCCTAAAGTCTTTAACACCAGTAGTGTATCCATGTCCAACCAATGTAAGTATTAGCTTAGATGGAAGATATCCTTGGGCATGAAAAAATTCAGCATGAGCTTAGTGCAGTTTGGCTAAGAAAAACTGACACAGATCAATCATGAGCTGCACTGAATGCAACTACGTATAAAATTTAGATATTATTTTAACCTTGGAAAAATAAGGTTACACATAGGTTTTTTTTTTTAACTTGCTAACTTGCCCTTGCAGGTTTGACGGCTTCACAAGTACTTTCCAGGATAAACTTTTCAAAGGTTATGATATGGAGATACAAAATCAGATATTCTACACAACATTATGTTCATGTATACTCAGTTTCACTGGTAAGATAATGTTTCAATCAGTATCCCATTTCTTGTAGTTCTTAAACCTGTCTTGTAGCTATAAATTTTTTTATAGATTTTTGATATTGACTAGCTCCAACCGTCCGAAAAGGTTGATCCTATATCTCTTCTAATATTTTAAGGTCATTCTTTTGAGATCAGTTTATTTCGTTATTTCATAGTGCAACTCAGTGATTTGATGCTTCGATTTATTTTGTTTATAGGTCTAATCTTACAAGGCAATCTTCTCATGGCAATAGATTTTGTTTCTCGGCACAAGGATTGTTTCTTTGACATTACAATCCTCTCAACTGTAAGTTATGAAAGTAAAGATTTTCTTTTGTTCCCAATTTCAATCTGTTTGTGTTCATGTCTCTTAGTACTAACTTGCAATGATTCTACATCCTGTAAACATATGAAGTCACAATCCCTCCTAGTTCGTTTTACATAATCTTATATTGCAGGTTGCAACAATTAGCCAATTCTTTATTTCTTACACAATCCGAAATTTTGGTGCTCTAACCTTCGCCACCATAATGACCACGAGACAGGTACGAAAACAATTTCCAATGCTATTTGACAAGAAAAACATGTTTAAAAAGATGGCCTTGTCGTTATCTGTGTGACTTTTCTACTTGTTAATACAGTTGGTGAGCATTCTGCTATCGTGTGTATGGTTTGGCCACCCACTTAGCGTGGAACAATGTATTGGATCTGTAAGTGTATATCTTAACCCATAGTATGAGGACATGATTGATACGCAGTATTGTCCTTAATACTATACTATAACGACTAATCCACGCAATAAATGTTTTGATGTTATCAGATTCTTGATTGGTTGCTTTTTTGCTCGTATTTTATTTCTCAGGCTATCGTCTTTGGGTCCCTTTATGCAAAAAGCTTCTTAACAAGTAAGCAAAGGCAGTTGCCCTCTGAGCACACCGAAAGTAGAGCTTCAAGTCCATTGAGGGCGAAAGCGTAGTACATTAATGGTGCCAGTCGAGACTTGCGGTCACTAATTCTCTAACCATTTGTCCTAAGATGGATCTATATGGAGACA